TTCCACTAACTATAAGCTAAATAAACCTTTCCTTCCTTAATGTTGGGCATTGGATATTTTGTCTCAGCAATGAGAGAAAACTAACCAAGACAGAATTTGGTACCAGGAGTGAGGTGATTGCTGTGACTATACCTGACCATGTAGTTCAAGAGCCTTTGGAAATGGCTTGTGGGAAGTGTTTGGAAAGGTTACACTAGCTAGAATGCCTTTGGGTGTTTTGTACAGAAGATTCTGGTCAGAGCTCAGAAGAACAGAAGGCTGATAGAAATCCTGCCAGTAAAGATAGAGTTTGGGAAGGTTCTGCTGGAAAGAAGGACTGCATTGGGTGCTCCAGATGATGTGTGTTATGGCTTAGCAGAAAGTTTGTCTGCACTTTGCTGTTGTCCTGGTGGACTTTGCCTGGTGGACTGATTAATCTGGCAAAAGAAATTTCAAGATAGTCAAATGTTGGGGCAGTGGCATGGCTATTGTTGGGGGCTTTTAGCCAGATTTATGTTGAGACTCAAGAGCAAAGAGCCCAGCAGGATGATTTAAAACATTGGGAGTATGGTAAAACAAAGCAAAACAAAAAACCAACCAAACAAAAAAACCCAAACAACCACCACAACAAAAAACCTCCAGTAAACTTGTGGACTGCAAAGATAGAGCTTAAGAGATCTTGATTGTTGAGGAAAACCAAAAATATAAAAAAGATGGCCTGAAAGCATCACTAGGAGCAGCGAGGCTCCACCCTTTGCAGCCTCAAATCTGCAAAAATGATTTTGCTTTGAGGAAAAAGCCGCAGAGTGCCATGTTCCAGAATGGTGGTGGCACAGAAAATTTGTTCCTCAGTATCAGGTGTACAGTGCCCAGCAATCCAGGCACTCCACCCCTATAGCCAAGAGAGAAAAAAGCTTGGCTACTACTCCAACTAGCAGCAGACTTGGCATGATCAATGCAGCACTGGTTTTAGATGCATGCAGAATCTAAGAGTTCTGAGGTTAAGAAGGCTTCCACCTAGATTTCAAAAGGCCTGGAAGGCCAAGCAGTGTGCCTCTGAGAGTACAGTATGTAAAGCTGTGAGTGTAAAGTGAAAGGTGCATTGGAGACAGCAAAGGTTTAAGAAAGCCAAAAAATATAGATTGCCTAAAAAAAGCTGCAAGGAGGGAGCAAAGCAGGCTCAAAGAAAAAAAAAAATCCATGAGAGTTACAGCCACCAAAAGTACCATAGGGGTGGAGTCATGCAGGCCCTTTGGAGCTCCCAATGTGCCACAGATTGCTTCAGATGCTGGACATAAAACTGCAGGACTTAAATGTTTGCCCTGCTAGATTTTGGAGTTGCTTTGGTCCCATTCCTTTGTATTCCCCTGTTTGTAACTTTTGGAATAAAAATTCTTATTTTGTGCTATTAAATGTTAAAAATGTTTAACTTTTCATTTGTACAGGGGCTTGCAACTAAGAGTTTGCCTTATATCTCAGAGGAGACATGGTACTTGGACTTTTCAGCAATGCTGAAACTGTTAGGACTTTGACAACCCTTGCAGATGGACTAAATGCCTAAAGGGATGTGCATGAGTCTTTGGGTGGGTAAAATGTTATGGTTTTAATGTAATATAATGTTGTTTCTTTAGAATTGTTAAACCTCTGTTACAACTTTCAAGTTGTAAAATGGTGAGAATAATGTCTTTGTATCTGGGAACTGGTTTAAAAAAATGTGTCTGGTTGCCAAATTGACAAGAGGTGGATTGTTATGGTTGATACACTGTGTCAACTTGAGAAGTCTAAAAGCTTAACAAGTAACTCAGCACTTCCACATCCTGGGGTGAAGAGGACATGCCCTTGCTGCTCTAGGATGTTGTTCACTGTGTCAACTTGAGAAGTTCAAAAGTTCAACTGATTCAGTGGAAGGGGAGCAGGGTCCTTCCTTTGTCAACATCTTCAGCTTGTGAAAGAGGAGGGCACAGAGATGGTGTGGGCATGGGTGGATAGTTGATATACAATATAAGGAGGGAAAAGAGGCTTGATCCCCCCACTTTTTTGCTCTTGCTGCTTTTGCTGTCTTGTTCTGCATTGAAGTGGTGCCCTGCCACCCAGCCTTGGAGCCAGCTGATTATAGATGAAAACCTCCACACAATGTAAGCTAAATAAACCTTTCCTTCCTTAACTTTGGGTATTGGGTATTTTGTCTCAGCAACAACAAAAATGTAACCAAGACATGAGGTCATAATTTGATGGCATTATCAGGGGATGATGGAAACAGGTCAGGCTTGGTTGTAGGAGAGCGTCATGCAGGCATGACACTGAGGACTCTATCTGTTCCACAACCCCTTCTTCTGTGGCTTTTTCCCACTTTCTGGTATCAAGTAAGCAGCTTTATTCTGGCATTACCTTCTGCTCTGCTTCTGCCCCATCATTCACCTAAAAGCAATGGGGCTAGCTTATCATGGACTGAAGCCTCTAAAAGCATGAACCAAAATAAACCTTTCCTCCTGTAAGTTGGTTTTTTTTTTTTCATTATTTAGTCACAGCAGCAAAAAACCAAAAACTGACCAAAATATGGTTGTTAATTGAAATGCATAAAATTCCCACTTTTTTGGGTAAAAAATAATTTAACAGAGGCAATTTTATGTGGTTTGACTTGATAGGCTCTAAATAATTCAAATGAAATTCCCCTTTATCTTCAGGAGCAAACCCTTTGATGAATTTCTAAGAAAATATTTCTCCTGCATCACCCTACCTCTATAAATAGATTCTCAGCATCCCTCGTACCATCTACATAAGGAAGTTCCAGTCTCCATGAAATTAAACCCTAGAGGCGAATGCTTTTTGAGGTTTTGCCTGCTATTTCTCTTATTTACACATTTCTGTGCATGGTTTAATACTTGAAGACAACACTGGGAATTCCGTCTCATTCATATTCCAAGTTGCGGTTCCTCCAGGGGATCCTCTCATTCCATTTGGCACAGCAGTAACTGTGTTTGACAACATCTGCCTCGCGGCTCCATGTGACACTTGGTTCCCATCCACATTTTCCTCCTGCAGGTCTTCTGAAGATGTTTTCCAGGAGAGGTGGAGAAGGGAAGAGAGTGGGGTGAACCAAAGCTGTCGTTTTCCAAAGACTTTGGTCAAGAACCCCAGCAAGGGCTGGGGATATAGCTCAGTGGCACAGTGCCTGCCTGGAAAGCAGGAGGTCCTGAGTTCGATTCCCGGTACCAAAAAAAAAAAAAAAAAAAAAAAAATAGAACCCCACCAAATATCTTCATCTACTTCTTAGTCTGAACATTTTTGATGTAAATTAATACTCTCTAAACAATCGTTTCAACTTCAGGGCTTTTGAGCATTCACAAGTAATTTCTGAATGTTTGTTCCCTAGACTATTGTGTACCTAGTCCCTTTCAATGTTTCTGCTATAAAAAAGAAAAAAAAATCATATAAATTATATCAATGATTCTTTTTCTTTTTGAGATAAGGTCTCATTATGTAGTGCAGACTGGCCTTGAACTCACTTATGTAGCCCAGGCTGGCTTTGAACTCACAGCAATCCTCCTGCCTCACCCTCCAGAGTGCTAGGTTACTACACCAGGCTTGACAATGTTTTTAACCAACAAGAAAATATATCACCAATTTCAATAATATCTTGAGTGAGACTACTACTTAAGCATGTCAGTTTATTTTCATGAAAAGTAAATATTTATAGGAAATTATATTCAATAAATTTTAATAATCTTTATAGAAACCATTTGTATAGTCTGTTTCATGTTTAATGTGTGAAGATAAAATTGAAGGATTTCTGAAAAAAATGAAATTTACTTAAAGGAAAATGCTAATTCTTATCAATGAAAATACTGTATTAATCTACATTTTGGACTAAATTAAACAACTGCCTACACCAAGCAGAAAATTCAGAATATAGAGCTTATTACTAGCAATTGCCACTTAAATTATTACCTCTTTCAATTAAGCTGTCTTTGCTATTTTTCCATGGCTTTAAATTCCAACAGATTGTTTCAAAATGTCATTCTATTTCTACTTGGCTGAGACTCCTGTACCATTATGGTCTTCATTATATGAAGCTTTAAAATTTCTCTGTGCTATACAATATATAACCAGCTGGTGATATAACACTTCCATTAGGGAAACAATTCCCTTGGCCTAACAAAGGAAGGGTATCATTTGACTTCCTAATGTATCCTATTTCTCTTTCCAACATACTTTACCACTAGGTTTTCAGAAATATATATAATTTGTTCATATAAATTTGAAAAAGGATGAATGTGGTATGAAAAGGTACCTTGTCTTTTTGTGGTTTTATGAGCAAAAACTATGTAAGGACAGAAAGTGCTAGTAAGGCATTAAAATGACAAAATACTCTCTGGGAACAGACAGTGGTGCACAGGTGCTGGTGTTTACATTGTGAATTCATACTTGCTGTGTCTCTTACTCACTGGAGATGGATCTAATGCTTTGTCTCTTCCAACTCACCTATAAGTTCAGGGCAAAAGAAGCAACCCCCAAACAAAATGCCTCCTGTCCAAATACAAACTTCTAGATGAGGAGTTCTGTCCCAGAAATAATAGCACTGTCTAGTTGTACTTTACTGAAGTCAACCCAAACACTGAAAAATAGACACACTCACAAATATAGATATTTGTGTTCTTTTCAGTTTCTTTTAAATTGGAGGGTTGTCTAGCATATTAAAATATGATTATAATATATATATACATGTGTATATATCTGTATGTATAGTGATATATGTATCACAAGAACATGGCTGACACACAAAGCAAGTTTATCTGCCAGCTCTAATGTTTTTCCTTTCCATACTTCTCCCCACAAACCGCATCCAATTTAAGATCCCAAGGGCTTTCAAAGCCACATGGTCTCCAACAGACAATGACCTACTTGGGCTGCACTCTCACAGCCAGGATTCAAACAAGCCAGCCGCACATCTCAGCTCTCTGGCTCCGCTGTCATTTGAGCCCAGTCCTCAGAGATGCTATTATATAATGAAATAAACTTACTGTTTTCTTTAACACTTTGAGAGCATAAGGCTTCTGGGTCCCCTTCTGTTTGCATCTGTACACAATGGATGTAGCACCCCTTGAGGGGGAAAAAGACAAAAAGAAAATGTTATGCTTTGGACATGAATCAACGGGAAACGCTTGACAATAAGTGTCTCCAGCGGGTACTCTCCAAACTGGCAAGTGTTTAGAAATTCTATCCCAGGGCTGGCCCTAGATGTCAAGTATACTTTTTTCTTTCTCACAATTTAATAGAGTCTGCTCAGAAAATTGTAGGTTTCATCGCCTGCTCTTTTCCTCCAGCTCCATTCCTGATTAGGTAATATGCGGTACCTCGAGTTGCTGCATTCAGTAAGCTCTCAAGCAAATTAGGTGCTCGGGCAAATGTAATTTTTTGGAGGACACCTGTCCAAATTCAGAACCCCTGAGCTTCCCACTGGGGTAGGTCTGGAGTGAAATAAGCCATGTGGCATCAGAGAGGGCTTAAGTTCAGCACTTTTATAGGGATCAGAATAATCTGCACTTCTTGGACCTAGGGACCTCCTTCTCCCATCCCTTTATCTTTTTTAACTTGTAAAGGAGAATGCACAAAGGCACTAAATATCTTCCTAGGCACATGAGGTTACTACGAAGGGAGCTTTAAAAAGCAGAATAGTGTTGTCCAAATGCTCCCACTTGACACATGAAGCAAAAGAAAAAGAAAGAGACAGAGAATTACAGACCAACTTGGTTTAAGATTCAACTTGAGCAAGAGAACTCTTAGGTTCAATCTTCAGTATTGTGAAAAAAGAAAAAAGATAATAATACGTATCATAATATTGAGAGAACACTCTACAGAATAGCAGAATACACAATTTCCTTAAAGTTTCTGGACTCACATACAGTACTTAATATACACACTTATTATAAAACTGCAGACAAGACAGTGGTATTGTCTCTAGACATGGAGACAAAAGAAAGAAAAAATGATCCAGTAATAGCCCGATATATATATGTATACATAGGATGAACTGGTTCTGTTCAAAGGTAAAAAGGCAATTCAGTAGAGAAAAAGGAAGTCTTTCAAATATAAATAGTGCTAAAATAATTACATACCATATGTTTTAAAAAAACAGTGGAATGCAAGACAATATATGTAAAACATACATCTGATACGGGAATTCATATCCAAAAAATAAAGAATTCAAATGATTTAACAGCAAGAAAACAATCCAGGTAAAACCTGATCAAAAGAATAGACAGTTCTCAAAAGAAGTCATAAAAATGCACAACAGCTGTGAAATGGTGCTCTCCGCTTACTAATCATAGGGAAAAGGTAAATCAGAACCACAATAAGATATCCCTTTCCAGCTCTTAAGATGGAGATCATTAAAAGGAGGAAAGATACCAAGTGCTACTGAGGAAATGGAGACACTGTGGGAGGAATGGAAATTAGTACAGCCTTTATGGAAAAGAAGATAGAGGTCCCTTAAAGAATTAAAAGTAGGGCCATCTATGGTCCAGGAATCCTATTGCTAGGCATATATCCAAAGAAAATGAAATCAGCATGTCAAAGAGATATCTGCACTCTCATATTCATTGCAGCATTGTTTACAATAATCAAAACTATAGACTCAATTTGAGTCCATTAATAGATGGTTGCATAAAGAAAATGTGAAATATACGCACAATGGAATACTATCGAGCCCGTAAAAATAAGAACATCTTGTCATTTTAACCACATGGATGAACCTGGAAGACATTACATTTAATGAAATAAGCCAGGCACAAAAAGACAAGTGGTGTATGACCTCCCTTATACAGTATATAGAAACCTAGGAAAGGTGAACTGATAGAAACAGAACAGAATGATGGTTAACAGAGGCTGGGGACAGAGGAATTGGGAACATGTTGCCCACACGGTAAAACAACAACATATCTTATATGTGAAAATTGCTAAAAGAGTAGATTTTAAGTGTTCACTCCGAAGAAAACCTAAGGATGTGATAAAGTACATATGCTAATGAGCTTGATTTAATCATACCACAATGTATACACACTTCAGCACGTTACACACATAAGAATATATGATTTTTTTGTTTTCAATTATAAATTAAAGGTTAGAAAAGATACTTTCACCAAAGGTAGATGAAATAAGAACACGGACAGATTTTCAACACCATTAGCCATTAGGGAAATGCAAATTACACAAGGAGATAACAACCACGCACCTATTGGGATGCTGTGAAGAAAAAGGCGAGCAAGGGTGGAGAGCAACCAACTGACACAGCTAGGAATGCGAAGGGGCACAGCCAGGTGAGGAGATTTTGATAGTTTCTGATAAAGCTAAACACATCATACGACCCACCTGTCTCACTCACAGGTATTCATGTACTCAAATGACATAAAAACTGAGTTCACTCACAAACATGAACACAAGTCTTCATAGCTATTTTATTAGTATTCACCAAAATCTATAAACACCTTCAATATGCCCCAAATGGAGAACTGATTCACAATCTATTAATGCACCCATACCACAGAATTCTCCCTAGAAATAAAAAAGGAATGAACTGCAGCGCACACAGCTTGGATGAATCCCTTTAATATCCTAATAGAAGACAGGCTCAAAGAGAATATATTATATAACTGCTGTTAAATAATATTCTTCCATAGACATAGAAAATATGCCAGCTGTTTCAAGGGTTTACATGTTGTAGAACTATTACTGACTACAAACAAGTATTGAATAATTTTTTTTAACATGATAGGAGTATTCTATATATTGACTATGGTGTGTCTGCACAAGTGCATAAATCTTCAAAACAGGTAGAACTATACAATAAGTGTTATTTTCTGTAATATCATAGGTACATTAATAAAAATAAAAATATCTTCCTAAGAAAATCACATTGCTCAAAGATAAGGTTAAAAACCAAACAACCAAATGTAGCTTATCTATTCATCCCATTCTAATTTCCTCTAATGGTAGCTGATAAAATTTTTTTTGGCGGGGGGCGTTTTCCGGTACCGGGAATCGAACTCACAACCTTGTGCTTGCCAGGCAGGCACTGTGACACTGAGCTAAATCCCCAGCCCCTCTGATAAATTTTTTTAAAAAGAAAAAAATACATGATGAAATAAAATTAAAGGTTTAATTTTTCATTTTTATGAAAAATTTGAAGCTACCAAGTGAAATATTAATATTACTCAATAATTTATGCAAAATGTATCAAATAGCATTTATTCCTTCATTTTTCATCACCTTAAATTAATTGGCCAATAACTATGATATGTGAATAATTGCTTTAGCAAAAACTTTTTTAAAAATTTCATAAAATCTCAAGACACATGCATACTAGAAATAACTTTTTAAAAGCTGGATAAATGAGGTCAAAAGAAAAGAATAGCCTAAATAGCTTTATGTGAAACAACATTTCAGACTTACTCAAAAATGAAGCCTACATTCTTTGTTGAAGATAAATGATTGGTTCAGGTATGTAAGTATAAAAAAAATCCTTTTTCCAATTATGTTTACAGAAAATAATTATTTTGGCATAAAAGACATCAACAGTTAAATTTTAATAAAGAAAGAACATGTTGAATAGTGTTATATATTTGTTTCAAGATGGACTATATAAACACAGAATCACCACAAAATTTCCTGAGATATAAAGGAAGCAAAGAAACTACAGATTAGAAGATATTATGTTTAAGGGATTCCTCAGCTACAAAAATGCCATATATTTCCATTCATTTATAACATATCCTCTAAAGAATGACCAAGGAATATAGAAATTATTACACTGAGTTTTTTTCTGCTGTGATTTTCATGAGCATGTAATTCAGTACTCTTTTGGAGCCTGACACTTGCCTGCTCTCACACTGATTTTCTTCAACAGAAATCTGGGGAAAATCATTTTGGAGCTCTAGTCTTCTCTAAGACAACTGGCTTATTAAAAATACACATTAAAGCCAAAAAGTTAAAAACTCAGGTCACTATGTTTTTCATTAAACAAAAAGTAAAGAAAGTAGCCCAATCTATACTGTGTTTTTAAAGATGACAGTATGACAACTAAAACACTATATATAAACCATACACATAGATATACACAAATACAGAATATTGCTCTGTTAATACCAGTAATAAACACTTGATATTAGTACCTAGCATGATGGGTTAAACTTCAGAATGTGGGGAAAAGCTCTAAATATAATAGTGATTTTCCTAGAGCCATTTCAAGTATGAAGACCTCTGGTATCACATTTAGGACCACTTAATATAGAAAGAGGTTCTGTATTCCACAGCCTGTCTTTATCTGCTCATCATGCCCGATACACAAGGAACAAAGGCAAAAAACTTCCTCATCTCTATTTTGGCACAAGTCTCACCAAAAAACCCACCTATTTGCTCATCTTCTCTCCCTCCTTTCTCATTTTATATTTTCTCCAAAAGAAATCCAGGTATTGTGAAATAACTGTCCACCACTAGCTGAGAGATAGACGCCCAAATCCACTGAAAGGGCCAAGCAGAGAGCACATCTAACTCAAAATGAAATCAGGAAGTCAGAAGTCTGGATTTACATCAAGGCTCCAGGGAATTAAAATGAGATTGTGTAATGCTGAGACAACTGAATGGCAGTTATAAATGAGAAACGGATTTTCTCTGGGAGGATCTATTGGAACATTTGTGACTGTCTGGCTCAGGACACAGAGCTTGGTTTCTGTCACCACTTACAATTTGCTCCTTGTAAATGCAAGAACTTCAGACACAGAAGTTCCTACAACATTAACTTCTCTGCGTTTTGGCTTCAGCAGTGTCTCTGGAATAGTATGCTTCATAGCTATGAAAACTCTTTGTTAAGGTTATTAGGTCTCACAAGTTGCTAGAATTTCACTTTATTTTTAAAGGGATGGGTCTTAAAATGCAGCCCAAGAATCTTGCTATTTTTTAATGTTGAAGATGTTGGATTAAAGAATATAATTATGTCAAAATATCAATATATTTGGGGGAGAATGATGAGCTTTGTATTAACTGACATTATAAAGTTATTATATAATATTTTTCAATGCTTTAATTCATGTTTTTCTTTTTATTTT